ATTGAAAAATATTTAAAATTTATTAGAATAGGTCTTTAAAATACCCAAAACGACACTGATGACTGCGCATCAAACCACTGAGCTATGCGTGATATATGCATTTATGAGAAAAACAAACCTTATAATGAATCTCTTATATGCTCTGGGTGCGTGTTAATATTTTGGCTCTTAAAACAATTTTTCAAAATGAATAATTTATTTACAAAGACCCGTATTTTAACAGGTCAGATTAGCTAGTTTTAAATATTAAGAATAATAACAATATTAAGAATATTAATAATTTCTATCATATCATTGGGAAATTCACGACTTTTTTCAGAACTCTAACCACTGCGCAACGGCTGCTAATAAAAGTTTATAACTACGCGACCTGGATTTTTTGTCGTCAAAATTAAAATTTATTGTAAATTAATGTACATTTTTCGAAGTACTTATAACAACTGACAAATAGGTGTTGGCACAGTTAAATGCAGTGGTAGACTAATTAATTAGTGCACCGGTCACCTGGTCGGTGGAAGTATTTTAAAAAAATATATATACTTGCCGGAGAAGAAAGATAAGCAAGTTTTTTACATTCTTGTCAACGATGTTTTAGTTCCAGTGTTGAACTCTACTAAATTCGATTTGTGTCTAAGTTGGAATCTAGACCTAATTCAGTGACGTTGTTCATCCAACGGCCACTTAATATTTAATACAAATTCGTACCTGGTATTTTTTTTCCGACTGTAATTCTGGTTTTGCGTAGTATAGCATAACATGCTCACTTGAAGTTTCAAGCAAATATTGTGTAATGTCAATCAATAGTTTTGTCAGCAATCTTCAAACACGTTTGGAGTGTGTTTTTAAAATCGATATTGCTTGTTTTGCCTTACCAACATTATTTGACACGTGTTTTTTAAGATTTATAGACAACATACAGAAACCATGGCGCGACGCACTTAGTACCGCACTCTAACTAAAATAGGAAATAGGTTATTAATCTGAGAGCTATTGAATATTTTGAAGTAATTTTTACGCAGAACATCATATAATTATTTTCTTGCATATTTAAGAAAAAGCTTAGCTTACGGTAATAAAGAGTCCTAAACCGATAGGTTTCTTTATTTAATATTTAAGTTTTTTTTTTTTTTTTTTTAAGCTTTTTTTTGTTCACTTAATTTTTTTGTAGTACATTTATATCGTTATAAATACTAAAAAAAATAATAAAAACAATTAAAAATTTACAATGATAATCAATTTAAACAAGGTAACTGAATGAAGATCATGTCATCAGAACCTTAAACAAGTCGCTTTTAAAAAATGCGTTAATAAAATTTTTCAAACAATAATTTAAACAAGGAAAAATGACTTAATATGAACAGTAAAATAAATTAATGCTTAGTAATATTAAAAAGTTTACAATTTAAAAATGCTAATATTAATATACAGGGCCGTCCCGAGGAGGGGAAACGCTTTTTTTATTTTTTTTTATTTTACAGAGATAAGTCGGCAAAAAATATTTTCCAAGTAAGTTGTCCATGGAAAAAATAAAACTTTTAAATTTAGCTTTAAAAATAGGTAAAGAAAAAGGCAATTCAAAATTTTGTAAAAAATAACTTTATTCCAAAGGTATGGTGAACGATAATCAATACAAAACTGATTGAATTGGTTCCACAAAAAATTTGGTATAGCAAATTATTATTTCTTAGGGTATTTTTTTTTCTTATATAAAAAAACAAAAAACATTTAATACATTTACTTCATGTAATTAATCTCATTTCGTTAATTTTATTAATTGATCTCATTTCGTTAAGTAAAGGATTTAATGAGTAAGACGATCTGCAAAACTAATAATACGAATTGTGTGCTTCTGATAGCTACAAAAACTTTTTTCGACTTCATGATCTTCGACTTCATGAAGCCCTAAATGAAAATTCCATGGGGTTCAAATATAGGCTAGAAGGCGGCCACATATTTGTCGACCACAAGTGAAGAACGTTTTTATCGGAGAAAGGTCACGGTTTTCTTGGCATTGTGAGCAAGTGCAGAATCTTGCACGAAGGCCCATAGATTTTTACCGAACTTCTTCTTGGCCCAAGGCAACAAGTTACTTTTTATAAAATCAACATAAGTTATTTGGTTGATCTTGACACGTTCGGAAACAAAAACAAGTGGAGTTTTGGAAACATTTAAACAAACGCCACCCCATACCATCACTCCTATAGGGCGCTGTCTTCTTGATATAGTCCAAATTTTATTAGAACGGTTCTTCTAGACTTCCCTAGAACTCCCTAGTTTTGCTCTTGTGAAGATTCTTTGATCACTGTAGATAACTGGAACACTTTTGTGGGTTTTGAACCATTCTAGAAAATGCTTTGTTATTATTTGTCGTTTAGGTTTTGTAGCCACACTTGTCGTTTAGCTTTTGTAGCCACACTCAAAAGTTGCCTATTTGACTCTTCATACCTTAGTTGACTCGTTGTAGTGTTTTCATTGACACACAAGCCTCTCTTGCTAAGCTAGATATCGACGATTTGGATTTTGTCGCACTTTGCAGTCAACAGAATCTTGAAGTTCTTACAAATATTCTTGGACCTGTCTGCTTCAGTTTACTTTTTTTCTAGATCTTTTATGAGCAGATAAACATTTGAATTATAAAGCTGTCCTGGTTTTCTTTACACATGTCTTTTCTAGAGTGAAAAGGCAATTTTTCTTACTTTTTTTTTTTCTAGGCAAATAAATCGACCCATTTTTTAATCAATTTATAAAAACCGCATATGTTTATTTTTTATTAACCAGTTCAGCCGTCAGTGATTTTTCTGAATTTGTAGACATATTAGGCGCGAAATTTTTGCGATAACCTGCCCACCCTTTATATAACAACAACAACAAGATATTTATTTTCCTCAAAATTTACAATCATCTAATTACAATAATATATTAACAATAATAATATTATTAATAAAAAGAATATAATATTATAAATAATTACTAATAAATTTACAATCATCTAATTAAAATAATATATTAACAATAATAATATTATTAATAACAAGAATATAATATTATAAATAACATTATAATATTATAAATAAAAATAATATTATCTATCTATAATATTATAAATAACAAAACCTAAATATCATTAATAATAAATATAAATAAGGGATTGTCAAGCAAGGAGTCACTATAATTTATAAAATAATATAAACTATAAATATTGTTTATAATGTTAGCTACAAACTTTTTTACATTATTTGTTCACGTTTTATCTTATTTTAAAATGGAAATCATAAAAATGAAAAGTTAAAAAAAAGTAATGTAAAAATTTCTCTTATATATACATTTTTATATGTATCTTTTGCATATACTACTTTTTGATATAACATTAAAAGCATAACTTAACGCAACGTTTGTAAATTTCTTTTTTTAATTCGCATGGTGAAAAGACTGAGGTTGTGTTTTTCTTGCCCCAGCCGTGTATTTAAATTAAGTCTAAATTTATTATTTTTTTTAATGGTTAAAATAATAATATTAACTATAAAAATACAAATTAGTATTAATAAGTATGTTTTTTTTTAAATTTTTTTTTATTTATTTACCAAAAGTACTTAACGCAATTTTTTGTTTTGTTTCTGACGTTTGTTGTAACTTATGTTTCGTTTTGATTTTCTTAGCGTTTTTCTGTTCATATTTTATTTATTAAGTCATAATATTTGAAATTGTTATTATATTTTAACAGATATGATTATTATATTTTGTAAATTTTTTAGCAATAGTTGTTTTTATATCATCAATAGTTGTTACGTTTTGTCAGGTTATTACTGTTAATAACTATAACTTTGTATGTTTAAATGATTGTTGTAAAAAAACTAATACCGATTTATTTAAGTTACTAAAATTACTTAATTATTATAGCAGGCCGTAACAACCGGGGATGGGGGTTGGGGCAGCAGAGACATTTGCCCCCCTCCCAATAATTTTTAAATTGTTTATATTATAATCAGTATTGTTATTAATATTGTTGTTGTTGTTATATTTAGTTAGTTTGTCATTGAAATTTTTATTATGTTGTGAGAACTACCATTATTATCTTTGTTATATATTATGACCATTCTAGGTATTACTACTCGATATTAGTTATTTTACTATTTGTAAATATCCTTAAATGTACAATCCTTATTTAGAATATATAATTGACTGATAAATAAATATTTCTAATAATAACAATAAAAACAACAAATAATTAATAAATATTATAATGATAGTTATAAGCATAATATTATTTAAAATAATAATAAAGATTTATAAGGATGATGTCACTCTGATGGAAGAAGTGACACCAATTTTTAAATAATATTAATAATATATAATATTAATAATAAGTAATATTAGGCACATACACGTTCAAAATACATTATACGTGTGTTTGCGTTTGTGTTTGTGCGTGTGTGTGTGTGTGAGTGTGTGTGTGTATATAATTAGGTTATAACAATAAAATTGTAAAAACAAAACAAAAAAAACCCTGATAATATTTGTAGTAATAAAGATAAAAAAATTGATATATTTTAATATTAAAATTTTAATATTAAAGAATAATAAAGAGTAAAAAAGAGAATAAAATATTTTTTTGAATTTTTTAAAATAGATTTTAAGATTAAGAAAAAGTATTTCAAGATTTTTTGAACTAATTCAAAACGTACACAAGGCTAATGTTTCATTCGCAAAATAAAACATATCTAAATTAAATATGAAAATACAAATTGCAATTAAACTTTTTTTTCTTGGTTTTTACAATTTTAAATTTGTCGCAAATGTGTGTGACCGAATGGTCACACATTTTTGCATATTACATTAGAGCTTTATATAAATAATATTTTTAAATAAAATTTTTAGGAACAAAACGAAAAAACACACGAAAATATTCCAATTATTGCGAAATAGTATTAATAAAATTTCTGTTACATCTGCTACGTTATATGTTATTAATAAATAAATAATTATAATAAATAAAAATCAGATTTACCTTTAAATTTCTTCATATTTCTCATATTTTATTACAAATTTATATTACATATGCAATTTATAGAGTTTAAAAAATTATTTTACAATCCACAACCAAATTCAAATAAAATTGAATTAAAAATATTATACATTATATTAACTATAAAACTATTCAAACGCTTTTTTAAAATCATTTATAGTAGACTTAATTTTTTTATCGAGGATTTCTTCTCGCAGTATTTCTCTTCTTGTGAATTCACTGGCTGGAGAGAGAGGTATTTTTTTATCTCCCTAAATTATGAAAAGATTATTAAAAGTTTCTGCATCAAAAAGGTAAAAGTAAACGAGTAACAAAGTTTGTGAGACACTTAATTACAAATCTTTATTAAAATGTAGTTAATTACGAATGTTTATGTTTTTAATTAAGTTTTTTTTTAAAATTGAAATAAATTTTATTTACACTATTTTATTAAAGAATTGTAAAAAAAATGGTTTCTGCATTTTTTAAAAAACAAGCTGACTTAGACTTCTACTACAACAATTCACTTTTATTCACTTAATATTAACTTAATTACTATTAACTAATCTAAAAATTGATATAAAAAAGATTTTAAATATATGATAAAAATAAATGATTATCTATTATTATCTATTATTACTATTGTATACTTATTGTTTTTTAATTTTTTTGTACTTACAACGACTGTTCAGTGATTGCTAAATACTAATATACAACTAAATTAAAAAGTTTTTTAAGCAAAACAAAAAAATCTTCATTAAAGTTCAAAAAAATCTTCATTTTAATTTGATTTGGTTTTTACCGACTTAAAAAGTTTGATTTCAAAGTTACTTGACAAAAAATAATTTTACATGAATTAAAAAAATATATGTTTTAATAGTTTACTCATCGTATTTTTTTTTTATTAAATTCAGTAAGATTATAAAAAAACAAAGACGAACAAACTTATTAAACTATAAACAACTATATAAAACCATAAAACTAAAACTCTAAATAAAAAAAGTCTTGCATAAAAAATTCAATTCAATTTTGCATAATAATAAAAATTTAGATTCAGTTAAATGAATAAAAAACGATAATAAAATGGGGCAACAGCGTAAGTGCAAATTTTATAACTAAAAATCTACATAAGTAAAAAATTTTAATATGCAAAGCAGTTGCAAAAATTTGAATCGAAAATAGTGTAATTTACTTAATAAAGAAATGCAAAGTAAGTTCACACATATTTCATTTAGGGGTCGTCCATTAAGTACACAAAAAATTTTGAAATTTGACCATCCCCCTGTTGCCATGCGTACTTTTAAGTCCCCACCCCATTCCCTTAAAAAGTACGCACGTAATTCAAATACCCCTCCCCTAATTTTTTTTTTATTAAAAAAATTTATTGAAAAAAAAAGGTGGAGGAGGTATTTTAGATACTTTTTTTGACCCCAAAGCCCTTTGTTTGCGGCACAGGATCCCAATTTAAAAAATATCTTTAAATATATATACAAATATTAATTTTAAATGAAGTTAAATTCAACTGTAACAATATGTGTGTTTGGCCGAGAGGTTGATGTTGTAAACTTCGACCACGGAGACCGGAGTTAGATTCTCGAAAGTCGTATTGTGCTTTTTTTGTTTTAATGTTAATAAAGTATTTTTTTTGTTTTAATGTTAATAAGTTCCTGGAACATCAAAAAATCCTGCGGGCGCCCATGCATGTGTGTGCATATTAGATTAGGAAACCTTTATACAAGCAAACCTCAGAACCAGTAACTTTAGAGCAGTACTCTCGTGCCAACACTATCTACTGGCCTAGATATAAAAAAAAGTTCACATCTATGCCAGTATATTATATAAGTGGTAAAAATCAACATAAATATTTTGCTTACCCCCACAATCATTGTCTACGAGCATTTCTAGAAGACAGAATTAAAAGCATTTCTAGAAGCCAGACGCAGTTTACATCTGTCCAAAATGAGTATTTTTATTAAGATAATATCTCTGGTCTAGACTATTATGAGCTTATGCATTATTATCTTATAATAAAAAAGCGAGTACTACAAGACAGCTGGACATATCGCAAGTTGTAAACTACATAAACTACATATTACTAGTAGTAGGGTTCTCATGCTGATCCTACCGAACAACAAAAAATACCAGTAACTAGCACTAAATATCAAGAACCACATAATATATGAGAATTATTTTTTAAAAGTAATTTATGTAGAGCAATCTTCAGTTCTAAAGCCAGAACACTAGCCACTAAATCAGTGCTGCTTTCATATTTCATGTGTTTATATCTCAGCCAAAAATATATACACACACTCTAGCCAAAAAAAAACAGAAACAAAAATAAAGAAAAATGAACTTTAAAACGTGAAATTTACCTTTTTGGTGTTTTTTATTTTTAAATTATTTTGTTTCAATTATTCATGCACATTACGATTCATATTTAAATGATAATTTTTTAAAACTATATTAAAATTTTTTTTTTATAATTATACTAAAAATGTATTTATTAAAAAACCAATTTAAAAACTTAAATTTATGAAAATATAAAGAAGCATTTAAAATAAGTCACTAGAAATAGTTATAGATAATTAAAGTGTAATTTGTTGTTATTTTTTAACTATCTGTGTGATGCTACTATGATTTATCAGTATATTACATTATTTCAGCATTTACTTCAGCGTTAATTTTAGTGAGCATAATATAATAACTTTTTCAAAAAACATTAGATTCCAATATAAAAAAATGTATATGTATATACTGAAAAATAATCATAAAAAACCTTTTCAATTGAAGCTTTAGAGAAATCAGAGAAATCTATGTAAACTGAAGATTCTGTAGAACCATAACAACCTGAAAGAGAAAAACTCAAAATGCGATTAATGCTGTAGACGATGATCAAATATTTTATACAAAAGAAAAGAAAAACCTTCAATTGACTTCTTTTCAATATCTTTCCTAGAAGTAATATCTTGATTCTGAATAACTGATTTATTATATGGTGATGACATTTCTTCCTTTAACATCAAAAGTCTTTTGTGCAACTCTGCATTATCTTTCTAAATATATATATATATATATATATATATATATATATATATATATATATATATATATATATATATATATATATATATATATATATATATATATATATATATATATATATATATATATATATATATATATATATATATATATATATATATATATATATATATATATATATAGTAGAAAATAAAACTACGTTATTTTCACAACTTTAAGTTTCATGCTGTTAAAATCATCAGGTGAAATACAAATATAGTTTGTTAAAAAATTATATACAATTGAAACTTTATTTATTGTTACGACACTTGAAAATTAACTGTTTTTTTATTAAGTTTTTTCTTCAGCATTTTTATAAAGTAAAATGATCAGTTTTTCATATAAACAAAGTAAACATTTTTTTGTTGTATTGGTGTAGGCGGGGGCTTTTTTTAAAATAGACCAAGTTAATTCTGGTGTTTCTTTCAGTTTTTCCCTGTTTCCCATATATGTTCTAAGAGAGTGGTTGCATTTAAAAGTTTCTTATTTGTAAATTATTGCTTGTGGTTTGCATACCTCTTTTTCCACATTCCTTCTAATAAACCAATGTATGCTTTGCTGGGTTTGTTTGGGGAAGATGTTATACATTTGAAAATGATGTTTGTCACTCTACAACTTTTATTCAGCAGGCAGATTTCTTTTTGTTTGCAATTGCAAGGGAGATTTTTAGTGGTGTTAATTAAATTTATTTTTTTGTTGTGGCTTTTTATGATTTTTGAAATGTTGTTTGAGCAGCTGTAGCTAATTTTTGTAGTGTTTCGATTGAATAGTTTAAGCAAAGGGTTTGAAGGTGGAAAATGTTTGTCTATTAATTGCAAAAAGATTTGGCCAACATTGATGGAGACGCTTTTATTGTAGGGTGGGTTAAACCAAATTATATTCCTTATTCTTTTGGGAGGTGTCTTATTTTTTGGGTTGTACTTTAAGTTTTTTTTTACGCTATATATATATATATATATATATATATATATATATATATATATATATATATATATATATATATATATATATATATATACAGTTAATTCCCGATAACTCGAACCTCCAAGGGACCAAGGAAAATGATTCAACTTAACAAATGTTTGATTTAAGCAAAGTCTCATTAAGTCAAACTTCGACAGAAAAGAGATATTAGTTCAGGCGATTTTTATTTATTCAATGCTAAAGTAAAAACATTAAATATACACTGTTATATTAATAAAAAGTGTGAAAAAGTTCAGTGAAAGAAGCTACGTATATATGCTTGTATTAACTTCTCTGATAATTCTTTTTCCATAATTAAGTTTATTTGGTTTATACATTTATGAATACATTCACAATTGTCACTGAATATCATGAAGCTTCGTAGTACTTCCAGGGCTTGACGTACATTACCCGATTGAGGCCAAGTTGGTTCAATCAAAAAATCTACATTACTATCTTCATCTTTTTCAGTCTCAAAATTTTCTTCTCCTAAAACGTCTGGTACAATCTCCCCATCATTCATTATCAGCTCGGCAGTGTTGATAAAATCATCCATGGACACTTTTGCTATTGTTCCTTCAGGGAAAAACTCAGATTAATAAACAGCAAGCTTTTCTTACTAGTTTTTAAGATCCTCATCTTAAGGAATTTCCACATCTACCGAGGCGTGTGCCATCTATTCAACTTTTTTTCTGACTGCGATAACAGCAGGGAAAATGCTTTACATTTTTAAAGCATATGGACGATTTAGCTTTGCCAATAACAAACATTGGCAAATTTTTCCCTAATGCATTAGCGGATGCCAATCCTGTAAGATGTATTTTCTGTGTTTCCCACTGATGCATTTTTCATTTTTAAAATGTAAAGATTTATTTGGCTGGAGCCGATAAAACAAGCCAAATTTGTCAGCATTATAAATCTGTTTCAACTTATATTTTAATAAAATGGTTGGTAACGTGGTTTCCTCCCATGGTGCTACCATTTCACTTGTACACGCATTAGCTTCACCAGAAATCATTTTAAATGATATATTATACCATTTCTTCCAACGGTCTAACCATCCATCTGAACCATCTTAATGTTCATTCTTTCAGCAAATTCCATGGCTTTAGTTATGAGAATTAAAGCAGAGACAGTAACATTTCTGCTACGAACAATCAGAAGCCATTTGATAATGGCTTGATCCAAATTTGGAAATTACCCTTTCTTTATACGCTGACGTTTTGGGTTGTTTCCTTTCTTCACAGCATCAAAAATCTTTTCCTTGTTTCTCAAACAGGTAGATAAGCTGTTCTTTGGTATATTATATATATTTTAAAGCGACCTTTGACTTTAAGATGCCATCTAATAATTCCTTCAGTGCATTGTATTTGATTTTCACAGTTTTTGTATTCAACTTTTGCTTAATTGCAATTGTCACCATGTTACAAACTTTGAGTTTAAAAAGCAAGTATTCATGCTGTACACTTAAAAGATAATATTCAAAAAAAGTTTAGTAAAAAAATGCAATACAATGTCTTCAATAAAGTATTTTATGTTTTATATAGAATGACTTCTTAAAAAAAAAATTTAATCAAGTTATTTTTATTTCATTATTTCCCAACAAAAAGTTTGAGTTATCCAAAGAATATTTGCCAAATGGGGACAATAAAATGGTTTGACTTAACGAAGTTTGAGTTATCTGATGTTCGACTTAACCGCTTACTGCAAACAACTACTGTAATATGGTCAACATTCCTATATTAATGAATGGCAATCCTCTTACTGAGTCCTCCTCTTTACGTCTTCTTAGATTATTGCTTACTACTGACCTTTCATGGAAACCATATATACAATCGATTGCTAAATTAGCTTCTGCTGAGGTTGCTTTTCTTTATCGTGCTCGCCATTTCCTTACTTCTGATTCCATTCTCCACCTCTACAAATCTCTTATTCGTCCCTGTATGGAATACTGTTTTCATATTTGGGCTGGTTCTTCTAATGATTCACTTTCTCTTCTTGACAAGGTCCAAAAACGCATTGTAAATGTTGTTGGACCTGGACTATCTGCTAAGCTTGAGCCTCTTTCCCATCGTCGTAAAGTTGCATCTCTTTCTCTTTTCTACAAATACTATCATGGTCACTGCTCAAAGGAGTTATCATCTCTAGTTCCATCAACTAAAATTCATTCTCGTTTTACTTGTCATTCAGCTAAGTCTCATTCATTTACTGTATCTGTCCCTGCATGCTCTAAAAACTTTTATTCATCTAGTTTTTTTCCCCGCACTTCAATCCTTTGGAACTCTCTCCCATCTTCATGTTTTCCTGACTCATACAACCTTCAACTTTTCAAGTCTTCTGTCAACCGTTTCCTTGCTCTGTAACTCTTCTTTTTTTTCCTAGTAACTCCCAACTTAATAGTGGTTGCTTGCAGCCTTGTTGGGAGTGAATGCAAATAAAATAAAAAATAAAAAAAAAACCGGAGAATTTTAATAGTAATCAGTTAGACAATTTCAAGGGACCAAATAAAACAGTTTGAGATAACAAAAGTTCGAGTTAACCGGTGTTCGACTTATAAGTATAACAAATTTTCAATTTTTAATTTTTAACAAAAATTGATAAATATATATAGACATATATATATATATATATATATATATATATATATATATATATATATATATATATATATATATATATATATATATATATATATATATATGTATATACATATATATATACATATATACATATATATATATATATATATATATATATATATATATATATATATATATATATATATATATATATATATATATATATATATATATATATATATATATATATAAACACACACACACACACACATATAATATTTAATACACACACACACAGACACACACACACACATATATATATATATATATATATATATATATATATATATATATATATATATATATATATATATATATATATATATATATATATATATTATAAAGCAGTCATTTTTTGATAGAAATAAAAATTTGAAATTTGTTTACATAATTTTAAAGGTGATAAAAAAAATCCTAAATATATTTATAGATAGTTGGAATTTAAAGACATAGAGAAGGGAATTTTGGGTAAGAAAATGCAAGGTTATATTTCATTTATAATGTAGGAACTTGCTGTGTAGGTTAAGAATAATTTTGTAAAATAAAGTAATTAAAATAACAGAATAAAAGCAACATTAACATCAGAAACATAACAAGCAACATAATAAGCGAAAAGATGTAAAGTAGAGAACTATGTTAGAGTGTTGCTTTTCATCAGTACAGAAATCATTGAAAAACATTTGAACGAATAGTTAAAACGTTTTTCAACTTTTTAACTCCAAAATGCAAGCTTTAACAACTTAAGCCGCTGGCGGGCAACTTTTAAAACTTGAAACCACTGCACAGAGAGACAAGATGGGCAGAGAGACAAGATGGTACTACAAGAGAGGCTGTACAACAATGTAGTCAATAAAGCTGAGTTATTACGTGTGATCATTGTAATAATTTATCTATAATTCATATTATAAATCGGATTTAGGCTCTGTAATTTACTTTCAACTAGACTTGTAATTGCTTTAATTTGCTTTAAAGACTTTCAACTAGATTTGTAATTGCTCGTTTAGGTTGTAAATATTTATAGACTTAAGACAATAGAATTACAATTTTAGTAATTTAAGTAGACTACCATCACTTATCATAACATTAAAAAAATGTAAATATTTTGTTGCTAGCAGTTTATGCTAAACATCTCGATGCCAAAATACCTGGGGAAAAGCTATTTTATCTACAACAGTTGATGGCTTATTCATTATGTGAATTCTATTCATGATGTTGCAACTTTTTGCAACCTTTACCTTAATAGACACACAGTGGTTTATTTTGCACTTTTTGTGAACATTTGACTATACTTAGGAAAAATCTCTTTGTGCGACATGGAAAAACAAAACATGGTCATGATATATGTTTTTAGCTTAATTTTTGAAGTTCCA